TTATAATTTTTATTTTAGTCTATAGTAGAGTTACGTTTGTAAAATCAGTAATGTAATGGTCCCGAGTTTATTTTTATTTTTCATTTTCCATTTATTATTATTATTTTTTGTTGTTGTAAATAATAGTATAATTAATAATTCTAAATCCTAAACAAGTAGTACTCTTTGCCTTAAGACTATAATAATTGTATTTCTATTGCTGTGATATCGCTATGGTGGGTACGTATACAACGGACGTCGCTATAGCGAACTATTATATGACGTCATAGTTTATGACGTCACGACATATACATCAAATAAACAGTCTGAAGAATCTCCTAAAAGAGATGAAAGTATTAAGGACTTGTTGTGGAGATTTTTTTTTTATATAATATTTCTTTGTCCGTAAGGATCATTTTTCTCCTTATATAATATATATATATATTCAATTTAAAATTCATAAGAACAAACCTTTTGACCGTATTTATTTCTAGCTTTATTTATGAGATGAATAACAACGGATAGATTTAACAATTGATTTCCGGATCAGAATGTCCCCGCTCAGAACCGTTTACGTTATCAGATGTTTATATCATGTGTTTCATCACTGTTGTAATGTATTTCTAATTTTAAAATCATAAGTACACATCTTTTGACCGTATTCATTGCAAAATTTGATGAATCACAACGGATACATTTAACATTTGATTGTCCTGCTAGGACCGTTAACGTTATAAGATGCATTATAATGTACATTTATTTCGTCATTGATGTAGTATATATATCCATTAAAGATTAATATGACGAAACGGATATATTTTTATTATAATTCCTGATCAAGGTGTCCCCGCTCAGGACCCATATCGTAGTATGATGGAAACTAATGTATTCCATCATTGATGTAATGTATATATCCATTTAAAAAGCACAATGTCGTATCTTTGACGGTGTTCATTGTCAACTTATATAACGAGAAACAATTATTTTATGAAGTATTCCTTCATTGTGATTTAAATGTTTAGAGGATTTACCATTTGGAAATTATTATGACACATCCCTTGATCTTTTACATTGACGAGTGTATGTATTTGATAAAAATAACCTAATGGAATTATTTCCATTTGATTTCCTGATCAGGATGTCCCCGCTCAGGACCGTGTATGTTATAAGATGTTTATATATATTATTTCGTCGTTCATGTTACCTGTTTTACATTTTAAAATCATTATGACACATCTTTGGAACGTATTCATTGCTTACTTTACTGATGTGATGAATAACAACAGATATATTTAATATTTGATTTCCTGATCAGGACTTCCCCGCTAAGGACATTATATGTTCTTAGATGCAAATGTATATTATTGCTATGCATTTATTAGTCGTTAAAGTGTTTAAATTAGATGAGCCTTGGCTCGTGGTCAGTGTCATAGTTTTATTTGAAGATAGTAGATAATTATATATAAGTAGCCGTAGATATCTGTAGATTAGTGTGAACGTTCGAGGTGGAGGAAGTTCTAGTCTGTGATATACCGCGGGGTCAACTTAAGCAGGATTTATGGCCAGTTTCACCTAGTTGTAAAGGGGTCAAATGAAGCTGGATTTACCTTCCTTATCAATGTAGCAGGATTTTTCGTCTGTGGAGTCTGAGTAGAGACTTGAGCTAAGGAGTCTAGACAGAGTTGAGAGGTCTAGAGACATAGAGGAGAGTTAGAAAGCTATAGTTAGAATGATAATTAGAAAGTTAGTAAGAATAGCAGTTTTGGCTGTATTTTGTAGATCTTTGTAGTTTTACAGTTTATAGTTGGAGATAATTTTTGAGTAGAAATGGTGAAGACTTGTATATTTTGTGACGGATTAAAATACTTGTGTTGTAAATAAAATGTGAATATAAATGTACTTATTTTGTTGTTAAATTAATTTGAACTGGTGGCAATGGAAATTGAGAATAGAAAGCATCCGTAATACAAAAGAGAACGTAACACTGGTGACTATCTTATATATATTACTAAAACCTTGTGTCCAGTAGTAGGGATATTTAGAAATGTAACACGGATGGCAGCTGTACGGAATTAATACAGCAATAGAAAACGTTATACTAAAATATTTAAAGTTTACGGTCCTGATCAAGATGTCCCCGTTCAGGACCGTAAACGTTATGAGGAATAATTATTTATTCCATCATTGATGTAATGTATATATCCATTTAAAAAGCACAATGTCGTATCTTTGACGGTGTTCATTGCTAAATTTACTTACATAACGAGAAACATAGGATTTATTCATAATTTGATTATCTAATCACGACCGTGTATGTTATAAGATGGATGTATTAAGTATTTCGTTGTTCATGTTCAAATGTTTCCATTTAAAAGTCATTATTGCACATGTTTTGACCGTATTCATTGCTAACTTTACTAATGTAAAGAATAATAACGAATAAATCTAACATTTGATTTCCTGATCAGGATGTCCCCGATAAGGACCGTGTTTCTTGTAAGATGTATCCATTCAGTATTTTATAGTTCGAGTTACTTGTTTCTCGTTTGAAAATCATTATGACACATCTTTTAACCGTGTTCATCACTAACTTAACTTATATGACGAATAAGACCGGATATATTTAACATTTGATTTCTTCATCAGGATGTCCCCGCTCAGGACCGTGTTTATTGTAAGATGCATATATTTAGCTTTTCGTCGTTATTTTACCTTTTTCCATTTAAAAGTCATTATGACACATCTTTTAACCGTGTTGATCCCTAGCTTAACTTATATTACGAAAAATAAACGGATATATTTAACATTTGATTTCCTGATCAGGATGTCCACGCTCGGGACCGTGTATGTTATAAGATGGATGTATTGAGTATTTCGTCGGGTTTGTTTTTGCCTATTTTTGCATTTAAAAGTCATTATGACTTCCCTTTTGACCGTTTGCATTGCTATCTTTACTAATGTGAAGACTTACAACGGATATAGTTAACAGTTGGTTTCCTGATCAGGATGTCCACGCTCGGGACCGTGAATGTTATAAGAAGGATGTATTAAGTATGTCGTCGTTCATGTTTAAATGTTTCCGTTTAAAGGTCATCATTACACATGTTTTGACCGTATTCATTGCTAACTTTACTAATGTGAAGAATAATAACGGATAAATCTAACATTTGATTTCCTGATCAGGATGTCCCTGATAAGGACCGTGTTTCTTGTAAGATGTATCCATTTAGTATTTTGTAGTTCGAGATACTTCTTTATCTTTTGAAAATCATTATGACACATCTTTTAACCGTGTTCATCACTAACTTAACTTGTTAACGAAAAAGACCGGATATATTTAACATTTGACTTCTTCATCAGGATGTCCCCGCTCAGGACCATGTTTATTGTAAGATGTATATATATGGTATTTCGTCGTTAATGTTACCTATTTTTTCTTTTAAAAATCATAATGACACATCTTTTAACAGTGTTCATCGCTAACTTAACTTATATGACGAAAAAGACCGGATATATTAAACATTTGATTTTTTCATCAGGATGTCCCCGCTCAGGACCGTGTTTATTGTAAGATGTATATATTTAGTATTTCGTCGTTTAATTTACCTATTTTCCTTTAAAAGTCATTATGACACATCTTTTAACCGTGTTGATACCTAGCTTAACTTATATTACGAAAAATAAACGGATATATTTAACATTTGATTTCCTGATCAGGATGTCCACGCTCGGGACCGTGTATGTTATATGATGTATATTTAGTAATTCGTCGTTTTTTTGCCTATTTTTGCAATTAAAAGTCTTTATGACTTCTCGTTTGACCGTATGCATTGCTATCTTTACTAATGTGAGGACTTACAACGGATATATTTAACAGTTGATTTCCTGATCAGGATGTCCACGCTCGGGACCGTATATGTTACAGGATGTATTTATTTAGTAATTCGTCGGATTTTTGCCTATTTTTGGATTAAAAAGTCATTATGACGCCTCTTTTGACCGTATGCATTGCTATCTTTACTAATGTGAGGACTTACAACGGATATATTTAGCATTCGATTTCCTGATCAGGATGTCCACGCTCGGGACCGTGTATGTTATAAGATGTATATATTTAGTATTTCGTCGGTTTTTTGCCTATTTTTGCAATTAAAAGTCATTATGACTTCTCTTTTGACCGTATGCATTGCTATCTTTATTAATGTGAGGACTTACAACGGATATATTTAACAGTTGATTTCCTGATAAGGATGTCCCCGCTAAGGACCGTGCATGTTATAAGATGTATATATATAGTAATTCCTCGTTCATTTTATCTATTTTTATTTAAACATCATTATGACACATCGCTTGATCGATGCATTGCTGCTGACTTTACTTATGAGAAGATTCACAACGGATATATTTAACATTTGATTTCCTGATAAGGATGTCCCCGCTCAGGACCGTGTATGTTATTAGATGTATATATTTAGTATTTCGTTGTTCATTTTACATAGATCTACATGATCAAAGGGAAGTAACTGCTAGAATCCAACTCCGCATTATGAGTTCTGCTACCCTTTTTTGTATTAAAAACAATGATCATCATCCTTTTGTCATGATAATTTGATGATACTTTCCCATGCTAAACATTAGTCACATATTGATGCAAATCATTGCAGATGTTTGCTAAAACAAGTGTATGAAAACGCCACAATATGCAACGGTCCTGATCAGCGACGATCACAGGCAGCCCCGGTTCCAGTGAGGGCAGCTCAGCTGTTAGACACTGTTGCCCACGTCAGAGACTATATATACTGTCCCTGGTCATAGGAATTATACATTCTTAACAATGCCGGAGTTCTCTAGGGACATCATCTAGTGAGAAATTTTCTATATTTAGCAGGAGCATACTGACAGCTAAAAATGAAGAGAAACATTGTGTACCAAAATATGTTTTATAGTATAAAAAGCATTTTGGTGAACTATTATATCACATTATTATGTTAATTTCCGTTTGCAACGTTTAACGGGTTATTCGAACGCGCCTCTGATCATTCGGATCTTCTTGAATGCGGATGGCCTCTAGTGTGTAGGTTGTTCTCGGTACTTTATAACTGCTACGATGGATATACATCAGGCTAGCAGCTCTACAATGAACTTTCACACAAAAGTTCGGATAATCTACGCTTCCGTAGGCGTGTTAATTGGAATATCAATATTCATTGTATTTGGATTCAACTATCACAACTGGGACGCAGCGACATGGGGGTTGACATCCGGTAAGTGTACAAAAACGGCACCATCATAAACACCACCGAAAAGTTAATTTGTAAATAAACACATCTTTATCATAAATTTCGCCCTCCCGTCTCCCACGTAAAGTCTGTAAAGCGGTGTGCTTCATTGGCTTGTTTTTCCTGTGACATATATCACTCTTATAACGACAAGTGGCTACAGATGAATAAACCGTCCTACACACCGCAGTAATAATAAACATGTATGTAACAGCTGTCAGGGGTCAATAACTGGATCACACAGCTGGTAGCTTACCTACTCCCGAGACCTACTCCGAATGGTCACTAGTGCATTTTTCTTAACTCCGAAATAATGACTATTAATATTTGTTGATATCAATTAACCTATTCTTTTTATATGGATATTGTTCAGATAAAAAACACATAAATATGACTAGAGAAATTTAAGTATATTACATAAGTGTAAATTCAAGATTAACATGAGTTCGTGCCTGTTAACGTTGTGACTATCAGTTTTACAATTCTGGCTTCAACTTCAGAAAGCAATGAGAAAATGTTTTGGCTAACATCTCTTCATTCATACTTAAGGGTTATTATTTTAAGATTCACCCTTGTCCCCCCTATTAAGTTCTTGCCCTCTGCCAATAGGAAGGCATCAATTCTTCATTCATACATGTGTAACAGGAGAAAGAGAAAATGTAACTGCCAGACCAGGGTTTGACCCCGGGACCCTCCAAACGCTAGACATACGCTCTACTAATTGAGCTATCTGGTCGCAGACAATCGACTCAGTCCAGTTCCGCTACATTCCTCCCTCCTTTTTTCCCCTGTAGACACAACTACTTAGAACCAATTTGGAAGTGTGTCACTATAAAATAAAGATTTTGTACATCCTGTATTATCATGTAGGCCTATATCATATTTTTGGACATTTGTCTAAAAGTAATGTATCCATATTTGTTCCCAGGCGTAGTGGCATGTTTGACATTGATAGTACATCTTCGGTACAGCAGGAAACTTGCCATGGGACGCCATATAGAACCTACTCTTCTCAGTAGATGGATGCTGTTAGGCTGCTTCATCCAGTTGGCGGGCGTGTGTGGGTTTACCGTCTACCTCACTCTAGCAATCACTCAAGGACAAGGTGAGTCGAATAGCAATGGCTCTTCACAAAGTTCTTAAGACTATTTTGATAGTATGGTTCAAAATCAGGCTTTCCAAAACTTATGTGAGACACGTTAATTCAGATTATTATTTTTCACAATTTCAAGTTCTAATTTGACATTTTTGTATTTACATATTAATTTACTTGCAAATTAAAAGAAATGATAGTGTATACACTCTCCGATACTTCTGTTTTGTATACATAACTGGGGACCGGCATGCATACTACCTGTTTCTACCTGGTTAGGTCACTATTATAAGATGACAACAAAAGTCTCCAGTGTTCAATACAAACGAAGGGAACCGACTCTTTACGAAGTGGAAACGATTCAAACATTTATTAGCTCACCTGGTCCAAAGGACCAAGGTGAGCTTATGCCATACCGTGGCGTCCGTCGTCCGTCCGTCCGTCATCTGTCGTCCGTCCGTCCGTCATCCGTCGTCCGTCCGTCAACAATTTCTTTAAACGACTTCTTCTTCTTAACCACTGATTGGAATTTAACTAAATTTGACTGGAAGCATCCCTAGGTGGTGGGGATTCTAAATTGTACAAATGGTGGGGCTGACCCCCCAGGGGGCTGAGGGGCGGGGCAAAAAGGGGGCAATTTGGCTAAACTGCTTTAAGCGACTTCTTCTCTGGAACTAAGTGATGGATATCAACCATATTAGACTGGAAGCATCCCTAGGTTGTGGAGATTCAAAATTGTACAAATGGTTGGGCTGACCCCCCAGGGGGCTGAGGGGCGGGGCAAAAAAGGGGTAATTTGGCTATATTTCTACAAACGACTTCTTCTGTAGAACTATGCACTGGATATCGATCATATTTAATCAAAAGCATTCATGGGATGCAGGGATTCAAAATTGTACAAATGGTGGGGCTGACC